CCCCAAAACCCCAAAACCCCAAAACCCCAAAACCCCATCTGCCTGATCAATACTGAAGATCCCATTTGGATTATTAATACCCCTCTGTGCATACTTGAGGTTACCTCAACTTTGAATCATTATTCATTGTGTTGCTATCATCCTGAAGTAAGAGTCCTTAGTTGCAATTCATATTGATAACTAGCTTTAGCTAAAACACAGTAAGATTGTGAAACTCTCAGTGATTTTATGAATAACCCATCCATGTGCACATTTCTAGGTGTATAAAGCCTTATCAGATAGTCTTAGAATTTATCAAATTTAATACTAGTCTTCTTCCGGATAGTATGATTCCAGTTCGGACTCACCATACTGCTGTGGTTTGGGTTACTAATAGTGCTTGGAAATGAGAACTCTTGGAAACTACCCATCTGCTTTGGGCTATCGATAAACAACCTCTTTCTCTTTGGAAATGAATATTCTGGTTTAAAAATAGATTTATTTTTACGCTTGACCATTACCTTCCTGAAACCATGCTTCTTCTATAAAGTTATCAAGAGGTCATACCTTAGATGAGTGAGACTTCTTAGTGATTATTTGTGGTTGTGGAGCACCCTTATGCCCTTTCTTAGTGCTATTAATCCGCTTACTTGCTATATAATCATCCAAACCTCTGAGAAATTCCCTTCTCTTTGAAACATCAAATTTAGGTCTCTGGCTGAAATAAAATGTTGAGTTGTTAATCCTGCTCTTTGTGGTCTCCTTCTGAGGCGATCTCTCTGATTTCATAGTGGAGAATATCTTTCCAGATATAGAGCTATTCGGAGAAATAGGCACTACACGAGAGTATCCCTTACAATCTGGGCTAAGATCTGCTTGAAAATTAGCCTAAAACTTAAGAAAGTTTCATTACAGCCCAAGTTTTGCTAAATTGACTATTTTGAACTATAACTTAGTCGGAGTCAATGAGTTAGCATTCAACCTCTTAAGCTCACGTGCTAATCTTTCTAAAAGTAACCAGAGACCTTACCAATATTCTTGTGCTGAACCATGCTGCTTGCAGCCAGGTTATTGTACAATGACTGGCTTAGTTTCTCCGTGTGGGATAAAATGTCTGCTCAAGACACCTAAAATTATTCAGAAATGTACCTTTAATTTCCGTCCTTTGTAAGTTTTTGACGCAGAAATATAGCTACGAAGGTTATTATACTCCTTTTGCAGCAGTGCCTTTTGATCAAGGACTGGGCTATCAGGACAAGGTCTACTCCTCTTTTTATCAGTCAGATTTAGATGAGGCTGAAAATTTTCAGATTCCTAGTGTTAAAATTAGGCACGATTGAGTTATAAGCCTTTAAGAAGAGTCCAATGCCTACTTTTGCTTTATTTCTTGACATTACAACTAATCTTGGTTACTGGATGTAGCAAGACTCTGAGTTTCCTAAAAGGCGTCAAAAGAAGGCCTAATATTGGCCAAAATTAGAGTCATAGCTAGATATGGCCTTGTTGGTAAATGCCTACTTCTTCTCAGGGACTGCTTGGATAGACTGATCTCTGATCGGCTTGAAATTCTTGGCAAATTCCATATTTATAACGCAATCTTATTGTTATTTTTTGGGGTTTTGGGGTTTTGGGGTTTTGGGGTTTTGGGGTTTTGGGG